ATTTTACTTTTGTATTCATATCCTATATTAAAATTTAACTTAACCAGAGTTGACCTCTGTTGAAGTATCTCTTAATTTTAAGATGCTTTCATCCAGTCTCACAGCTTTCCTTCTCGTATTTCAGAAATAACATTCAGGACTTTCAGTGATGTATAAGCAATAAGGAAAAGAACATCAGAAACACTGAATATATCTAAGGCAGTGTTTAGAAATAGATTTCTTCTAATGTTCTATATTCACAGGGAAAGCTGTGAGGTGCATGTAGGTCACTTAGTCATTGCATATTTGGACCTTCCACTGAGCTTACAAATCTCTGGTATTTGAATGTTCACTCTTTGAAGACATCTCTTTTCAGAAGACACCATTAAAATAATTACACTTTTGTGTAATTTCTATTGTTAGCACTTTCGGGATACATCAGCCCCCCTCCCGTGTGTGTGTGTGTGTGTGTGTGTGTGTGTGTGTGTGTGTGTGTAATAGGTTCTTACACAAGCTAAGCAAGCACCCTACCACTGAGCAATGTCACCAACCTTCTTATTTTTATTTCTTATTTTGAGATGGGGTCTGTCCTAGTTGTCCAGGTTGACCTTAGACTCACTCTGTACCCCTGTGTACTAGGATTTTTCTGTCTCAGTCTTCCAGGTATTGAAATTACAGATCTGTGCCACCATATAACTCACTTTGAACATAACACCATGCATGCCATTATAGGGGTTAAGTTACCTGTTCTTTGAGGAATTTATCTTATAAAGTATTATTATAGGGTTGGAGAGATGGCCCAGTGGTTAAGAACACTTGCTGTTCTTCCAGAAGAGATGGAAGCAGAGGGCCTAAGTTAGTTCCCAGAACCCATCTTAGACAACTCAAAATGCCTGCCACTCTATCTCCAGAGTTTCTAGTGCCCCTGTCTAGCCTGTTTGGGCACCTACACACACACACACACACACACACACACACACACACACACACACACACGAATAAAACTTTTTAAAGTATTTCTATAGAGCAAGGCTTAACCAACCATCAACTAGTAGATATTTTATGTGCTGCTAAAATTCTGTGATAGGTACATTAGAAAACTGCCAACAAACAGCAGAAATTGACTTGAACAAACACAGATTTCATTAGCAACCAACAAGAGAAAATTAAAGTGGGACTAGGAAGCCATCCAAAATTGACCTCTCTGGACTGTTTCATTTGTTCAATTTATACCACGTCAGGTATCCAGTTCACTATAGACTATCATAAGCTTCTAGAAGATGTGCATTGAGCACTTAGGCTTCACAGGCAAAACAGAATCAGAGTCCAAGGCTACTGACTATGGATTTGACTATTTCTTTTATGAACATATTCATTGTCTTGTCTGAATTTCTAAGAATTCTCCAAGAGAAACAAATAAAAAAGGAATTTTGATGCTTTTGTGAGAGTAATACAGAAATTACTGTTGCCATTTTGGATGAGAAAGGAGATTTTATACAATTAATTTTCAACAAGTTATTTCAATTGATTTTTTTAAGAGAAAAATCACCACATTATAGCCTTTTCATAAACATACATGCAAAACACTGGAAAACTAAGTGTACAGATATAATAAAATAATGATAAACCATGGCAATGTGGAGTGTAGAACTGGTTTTATATTCAGAAATCAATAAATGTAAATTGTTATATTGACAAAATAAAGACTCAAAACCATAGGATATTCTCAATAGATATATAAAACACACTTGGAAAAAGACAAACTTTTAATTTAAAAATTTACAAAATAGATATTTAACTAAACTAGAAATCGAATGGAGCATCCTTGACCTGATAATGGAAACCCACACAAAATTTTTAGTTAATACAATATGTAGTGATGAAAAATCATCACTTTGTTACCTTCCCAGATAGACAGGGGGGAAGGTGTCCTCTTTTAATGTGCATTGAAATCCTAGATGGCCGAGTACAGTGGCAAAGTTAGACAAGTACCATAATATTAATTGATGACGAAAACTGGAAGGCATCTACTAAGCAACTAGTGAAACTGTTGTGTGACAAGATTTCTGCTGGGGAGACACAACACAGACACCTACTTATTCCAGATAGGGATCCCAGGACTAGCTTGTAGGACAAAAAGTCTAAGCCTGCTTCTGAATTTTGAAAACACAGCAATCCCTGGGCTCACCCCAAGCTCAGGACTTGAAATTCCACCAATCCCCACACTGGAAATATCCACCCTGGAAAACTTCACCCATAATAAATCCTATAAGCCTGCCTTCCACTGAGTTCTTGCCTGCTTCTTGCCCAAGCAGAGCCAGCCACCCTGATGTGTCTTTCCCAATAAATGTCTTGTGTGAGGTTTGTTGTTCAATGTGACTTTGTGGTATTCTGTGGTCCTCATCTGTCAGGATACCTTTCCCTTCAGAACTGCAGCACCTATATTGGAGAAACCTTTCCCCTCAGAGCTATAACATTTATATGACCAAAGTATGGATACCACCAAAGTCCATGTTGGTGAACCAATGAGTTTTTTGGGGGTTACTTATATAAATATGAGTGAGGAGTTACTTAACAGGAGCAGAAATAACTCAAAGACAGCCGCATCACCAAAGCCCACCCTAGCATGGGTGACAACTCACAAAACCGGAAACTTAGGCCCACTGCATAGCCTACAGGCAGCTCAACAGGCTGGAGAAAGTCCTTTCCCAGTATTTCAGTCTAAACCTCTTCTGGGCAGCTCTGCTGGTTTCTGCTTCTTTCGGGAACTGGTCTGGTTTCAGGGACTGCAGTTGGGGATTATTTGAGAATAACTCTCATCAGATTATACTCTGGGAGGGAGGGGCCTGGAGAATAAAGTCAGTTTCAGGTACTTCCTAAAACAGTTTCGAGTTGATTACCATCTTTCTTAAAACCTTCCCCATAGGATAGAATGTTTCAATCTTGGGAAGAAACTGCTGCACAAGAGAAATTAATCAAATTTAACTAAGTTTCCTTATCAATATTCTAAAATCAATAATTTTATGCACTAACATCAGACAACTGGAAAAACAAATGTTTTATTTACAGTGTCAATTTGGAGGCATCAAATACTAGTAAACTAATTAAGAAAAGCCGCACAAGATTTGACATTAAAAATTATAAAACTGCTGAGAGAAATTAGGAAAACCCAAATAGCTAGAGATATATACTAATTTCTGGATAAAAAGATTCACATGCATTTGAGAAACAATAGAGTTGAAGGTTTATACTAACCAGATTTAGCATTTACTAAAGGCATATTCATCATGAAATTGCTATACCATCATAAGAACCAATTGGTATCATAGCCTAGAAATAGACTCCATTGCTTTTCAACAGAGGCAAAGCAAAAGTTTCCCAACAAAGGTGTTGGAACTATTGGGTATTTAAGTAGAAAAAGTGTATGCAAAATGAATTTGAATGTCCTTCAACACTACTTTTATCTAATAGAATAATCCATGCATTATTGTTTTATACTCATACACTGGTAATGCATTATTAGTTAATCAAAGTGTTGTTTCTAAAAATATTGTGCTATTGTTGCTGTTGGGATATTTATCTACAACCAAAGAAATTGTTTTAAATTACAAAGGAACGGTTTTTCATTAATAACTGTAAAGGTAGCATATGAAGTAAATAAAAAGTATCCAGGACTACACAATCCAGAAATTACCTGAAAATGACATTTGGGGTAGTTTCCCAAAGCTTTTCTGTATAACGCCATAAAATTTGCAAATTTCTTAGCATGGTATTATGTTACTTACAATCTTTTTCTTTGTGAATTCTTAAAATAATTATAATTATTAATTATGATTGTTTGTATGTTATCTTTTATTTCAACACATTTCTTGATTTTTGTGATTTTATTGTCAGTGGCATAAATTTTAATTGTAAGCTATGTTCAAGTCACACTTCACTGGATATCTGCTCCTAGTGTACCCGTCAAGCTCATAAACATTCTTTCTCCATTGAAATTCCCCATCAAAATATGCCTTATCTATTGAGCAAGCATGCCTGAAGGAAGTAATTTTGAAACAGTTATATTTTTGTTGTCCGTGGTGACTTTGAGTTTGTCTTATCTGCTCAGCACTTCCTTGCCCACAGTGAAATTTAAGGAAGGTCATAAGCCGAACATTTCAACACTGCATCTAAATGTCCTGTTACAGAAGTAAGCACAAAAACAGCTATCAGACCATTCTTACAGCACATAAAACATTGCATGACAACACATGATTGTCCAAGTGCTCGTGATCTGACTGAAATTTGTCAGTTTTCCTCTCAACCAGTAATGTTTGTTCTCCATGTGGCCTGAGACTATGCCCTGATATTGTGGGCTCAAGAACAGAGAAAGGCTGTCCTCAGAAAGAACACAAGAGAACAGCAAAAAAGAGACGCAAGGATGGACCAGAGGCACTTCCTCAAGTCTGCTAGCTGTGGACCCTGGTTTCACTTCCTTCTAGAACTTCCCTGGCTTACTGCCTGAGAAGATCCTTGTTCATAACAATTTTTAATTTTTCTCCCTCCCTCATTTCTTTCCTCCCTCCCCTCCTCCTGCTTCTCTTCTTTTTCCTTTTGTAAAGTTGACTTGTTATCAAATAAACCCAAATAATAATAATAAAATAATAAAGTAATTCATGGGAGGCTTTCTCCTATAAATAATTAACCAACCCTATTCATGTTCTATACGTCCTTAGCTTTACATATGGAAAGTATCACCTACCTAGTCCCTCAATATAAGTTCAATTTTGGCTACAAATCTATAGTGTACTGGCTCATTCACCAATTTATTGAGCACCAACAATAGACCAAGGAATGGATTTTACTGGGTCCAATATGTGAACCAAAGAGTTTCTTTGGCTTACTTATAGGACCTTGTGCAAAAGGCTACTTCTGGTAACTGGTCACACCTCCAAACAGCTGCATCAACACAGAGTTCTGCCCCTTCATGGATGTTGACATCATGGAAGCTACATCATAGAGTCCTACTTTTAGTTAACCCAACATTTTCTATTTACTCTGGCATCTCCCAAGGTCATGTACATCTAGGAGGTGGAGGGGGCAAGAAGGCAGCAAAAGTGGACTCTCAGGTAAGAGAACTATTCCCCAATCCCCTCAGCCTACTAGAGTGTCCTGGTATATTTATTACTGATACTACAGAACTATCTAACATTGTAGTGTTCTGTTTATTTTGTTGCCATGAAGTTATCTATCGCCTCTCCAAGGTGGCTATGGGATAATCATGCCTAAAGGAAAAAAATCTATACTGAAACAAAGGGAAATCAAGTTTAGTTGGCCTTGCTATTATTTCAAATGTTGTCAATAAATTTAACACTATAAAAATGACTCTTGAATGTCAATGAATTCTGTTTTCAAACATTTGGCTTGGATTCAGCATATGGTTCTGTGACATGATTTTAGTGATTGAGGCAAAGAGATAATATTCACTCAGTGTTAACATTTATTTTCAGTAATGTCCACCATCAGCTTTCTGTTACTATAACGGTAAGTGTTACACCCCTGAAAGAAAAGGCATCCTGGTAGTCAGAAGCCAAGGGTTACCTACAGCTCCGAAGGGAAGGGTATCCCAAACAGAAGTGTTACAGCTCTCTTCCTGTGGGGATGGTTTCCCCAACAAAATGTTACAGTTCTTACTTTAGGAAAGGTTTCGCTAATATAAGTGCAACAACTCTACTCCAGAGAAATGTTACAGCTTTGCTAAGGGAGTTTTCCAGCAGAAATGTGACAGTTTTGTTCTACTCTGGTGAAAGTTGCTATATCTCTGCTCTTCTCTGTACTGACAAGAAATTCATTAGCACAAGCATCACTCAAGAAGTTTAATGGGAGGGAGGGATCCAGGAGAGTAGCTCCCTCTTGCCTGGGTGGGAAAAAGGCAACCCCAAACTGAATAGGTACAGGGATTATAGAGGTTTTTTTTTGGGGGGGGCAGAATTTTTCAAGGTAGAGATTTTCAGGTGGGAGTTCATAGGATTTCAATTCTTGAGCTTGGGACAAGCTCAGAGATTGGTTGGTTTTTGTGCTCAGGGACTGGTTGGATTTCAATTCCTGGATTGGTTAGGGGCAAGGTATGTTCCTTTGGCTCTGGTCTCAGGGCCAGGGTTTTCTTTCACTGGCCCTTTTCACCCTACAATAACAAATTACCCCTCAAAGAAAAGGTTCAACTTGTTTTATGGGTTTGTTGGTTTCAGTCTGTGATCCTTTTAGCTCCATGTCTTTGGGCTAGCACACATTTAGCTTTCAGAAACTTGTTTTCTATATATCCTATACAACATCTCATTCTCAAACTGTTGGATAACTTTGTTAGTTAAGCTAAAGTGACTCAATAAATATCCAACATTAGTTGTCAGTGCTACAACATTGCAGAAAAAGAAGAGAGATGGAATGCGGAAGTGGTATGAAGAAGCAATATATAAAACAAGGCTGCTCGGAGTGGTGTAAATGTTGAACTTTAGAAGTTCTGAGATTAGAGGGGCAGAGAAAAACATAAACAGAGAGACCAACTGCAGGGACACTCAGACGGAGGGTCCACCCTGTATTTATGATAACTCTTCTATCACTCTTAAGGTGAAGTAAGTGAAAGCTGAAATGGTTGGAGAGAAATTTCTAGAAGGGGGTGATGTTTGCTGTGGGTCTTGAAGGTGGGAATTTGAGAATAAAGCATTGAATGGAAAACCTGAGCCAAAGCATAGAGATGAGAACATGATCTGTTTTGCAGAGGAGTGATCCATCTTTCTAGACTCTAGTGTATGCCAGAAACTGTGGGAAACTGCCCAGGTAAGTATGCTGGACAAAGACATGTCAGAAGCATTTGAATACAAATGGCAACACAGAAGAGATTGCTGAACCATGGTGCTGCAGGATAGAAACTGGGGCGAGGTTATACAAGATGCACTGGAAGGGTGGAGGCTGAAGCCAGGTAAACTAACTGGGGCATCCTCCAGTGAGCCATGTGTCACACGGTGAAAGCCTCACCAACATAGTGCAGATGTGAGAAGGGAGGCGCGATAATTCAAGAGATGAAAATATCTGGTTTCCAAGCATGAATAGCTAGAGAAGACAACGGAACTTCTTGCCTAAAAGGAGTCTCCATGTATGGGGTTGGGGCTTAGGGTAGAGTGCAGGATGGGAATGCAGGTTGATATATAAAGAGTAGCCAGTTGCATAGAACATTCCACTGAATTCGAGGAAACGGAGATCTTTGGAGAGGGAATGTGAAGAAAAGGATGGAGAAGTGTGGTGAAGATCACCGACATTAAAGGCCTTGGACAGGTAACATGAGCCAGCGTTGGTGGAGACAGGCAGCCTGGGGGATGAGACTCAAGGCTTGTCACAGAATTAAGAGAACAAAGTGGATGAGGAGCTACAGAAGCTGAAAGCGGAGGAAGATGATCACCTTTAGGAGAGTTTAGTCAAAGACCTGGGTTTAGAAATCAAAGACAGGAGGAATAGGAGGCGATGGACTCGAAACGCAGGCAGAGTAATGAAGCTGTTATGAGCATGCGCTCTGACAGCCACTCTCCCTGAATGCTGGTTCCACGAAATCAGGCCAACTTAATTTTCAGAGGCTTACCCACTATCATGTGCTAGGTTGACCATCTGCCACCCCCCTAACTCATGTCTTTCCCACCACTTCAGCTTGTGATCTTATTTAGAAAGGAGGGTATTGCAGATCTAATGAGTCCATGTGAATTCACACTAGAGAAAGGTGGGTCTGTGGGGCAGTGTGACTGGTGTCCTTGTGAGACGTGAAGGGAGACATAAGGAAGACACATGTGCCTATAATGACAGGGGCAGAGGAGGGGGTTACATAGCTGCAAACCAAGAAGCACCTAGGGCTGCTGAGAACAGCAGAAATGAAGGGGAGGGCATGGATCAGTTCCTGAGTCAGCACTGTAGAAGGATTTACGGGGCCCTTATCTCTAGGACCACAAGAAAAGAAATTTTGTTCTTTTGAGCCTCCCGTTTTTGGCGTTTTGTGGTGGCAGTCCCCAGACCCTTAATGCATTCAGCCATCTTGTTCTTAAAGTGAAGGCGATACTGTCTTTATAGTGAGAAGTATAGTGAGAAGTGTCTGTTCTGCAGCTAGAGCTCAGGCAAGTGTTGACAATATGTTATGTTATTCTTTACGGATCTGGTTGTGGACAGAGGGGGGAAAATGATCCTAGTCTGCCATGGAGATAATAAAGTCATATTGTTTTTCTTGCAAAATAATCAGTGCATATTTAAATTGACATGAGTCAGTTTAGATCAGAAGAAGCATTTTCTAGGCTGGCCACTTAATCGGTGTGATGATGCATTTCAGAATTTCAGAACACTAGACTCACCCTCAAATTACAGACATTAGCACCATTGAATACAACTGTTACAGGAAATGTCAATTTTATCAAAGATAATTGTAGGTATCCACATATGAAAGAAGAGAATCTTATTTTAAGTAAAAACAAAAAACAAAAACAAAAACAAAAAAACCCAAAATAACAAAAAATAACTTTCTTGGATTAAATTATTAATGATTTAGATCCAGACAAAACTTTTTTTTCAACATAACTTTTCAAAATGGTAGACTGCACATCATTCTCCCTCACACATGTAAACAGCTCTATTTACCCTGTCTGAAGCCCTGACCAGAAGTCCAGGGGTGAACTTTTAATTGAGTTCTACTCAGCAAGTTCAAAACAAATGACTAATCTAATTTCATGGATTTACTTGCTCCTCATACATTAGACATCGGTACAAAAGCTTTTACTAAATTCTTTTACTAAGAATAGAAAGGAACAAACAACAATTTGAAAATGCTTAGCAAACGGCTCATATCATGTTCACATGTCCAGAAAGGCAGGAAGATGAGAAAAGGGCAAAGACACTTTGAAAAGTGTTCTTCTTTAAAGAAACAGTCGCAGCAGAAGAGGACCATTAAAAAAAAAAATAACTATGAGAGAGTATAGCTCAGTAGTATACTGTCTCTTGAGAATGTTCCCACCATTTTTTAGCCACACTTAAACCATTCTTTTTTTTTTTTTTTTTTAATTTCTAAGGAACATTTAATGTGAAATTGTCCTATAGCAACAAGACTAATGTAGACCAAGAATTTGGCTTTATCTTCACCTTGGAGTAAATGAAAGTCTTTATTTACCCTTCTACTGTACTTTGAGCACCATAGTTGACAGTGAAATATTACATTGTACCTCATTTGAGCGTGGAAATCCAGGACAAAATATAAGGAGGCCGAACGTAAAATCTGAGTCCCCTTGGCAATCAGACTCCGATTATTTGAAATGTTCCCTGGTTTCAAGGAGGAAGTTACTTTTTGTTGTGCAAGATGTTGATCATAGAGCCTTTGGCAGACTGAGAGATGACAATCAACAACTGCCTAGCTAGTGAATTTCTCAATATATGTTGGCTAATGGAATTGTAAAACATTTCCTTCCATTCCTTACATAACTAGTTAAGACAAAGATACTTAGGGAGTGGATTATCTTTCTAGTTGATTCAGTCTCAAACTTGTGATTAGATTGTAAGGCTTTGGTCACAATATTTTACTTTCCAAAGGCAAAGGCCAGATGTTTATCTTTTTCTGTTTTATAATACTCTCAACATTTATGGAAAATATATACACATGTCAACAAGTATACATATATAGATTATGAGTGCACACCTATATATTATGTAATATATTCATTATATTTACTGAGTACTTATATATCACATATAAACATATACTAACTCCTGAAGATGGGTATTTTGCATATTTACTTTTATCTCACAGTTTGTAAACCCTTGTAGTGGTTTGAATAAGAACGGGAGTGGTCGGTTTGAAAGGATTAGAATGGCCCCCACAGGCAGCCCTGACTTTCCAGCTTTGCTGCTCATATCCTGTCTTTTAGGTTGTCTTCACTCCCATGCACCTGCACCTGCACCATCCTAATGGAGCCTCCATAAACATTCTTCACCTTCGCAGTTCCACAGTGTCTTCTTGGGGACTTCTTGCTTGGCATCTGACCTTACCACACATTGCAGGGCTTTAGGAGCTTTCTGGAATCCTGGTACAAGCCTTTGTGATGCTCTCACTTTTGCATGATTCATGTCTGAAAAACTGTATCAAGTGGTCAAGGCTACCAAGCTCTGTTGTTAGCTCTAGATGTAGTCTGGCCCCCTTGAACCACAAATTTTATTTGCTTCTGTGCATGGACCCTGATGAAGAATTTTTCTAGGTGATTGTTTTTGGACAAAGAGTCTCTTTAGTGACATTGTCAACCTAAGCTCCTTCCTTAAAAATGAATTTGAGTTTTCACAAGTTCCTCTTACTGCCAGGGGGCTTTCCTACTGTTAGGTTTCTTTGTAACAGGACTAACCCCTTTAACAATCACAGTTGCTTTTCTGTCGCCTAGTTGCAACTTGAAACTTTCCTGCCAGACTATTTTCTCTTCCAAACTGCAGTTTTGTATCTCTTTGCTCTACTTGTCACTTTCTCTTACTAGACCTAGATAAGAGCAATTAACAGTAACCACAACATAGCCTGAATACAATCCTGTTTTGAAATGCATTCTGCCAAACATATTAGTTCAATTACCTTTTAATTTAGCCACACTCAAGTTCTCAGGACACTGGCAAAGTGTGGTTCTCTGCCAGAATACAACAGCTATGCTCTGTAGCCTGGTCTTGACAGAGTCCTTGCTCACCTCTGAAACCCTATGACCAGTCTCCACGGTCCACATCTGTTGGCATTCTTCTGAACTCCCACCAGAAGGACCATTAAGCATTACTTGCAGCACTGTAGGGCTTCTCTAGCTCACACCTCCAAACTCTCTCACACTCTTCCCACACACCTGCTCCAAATGACTAAGAGCTATATGGTCAAGTTTGCATAGCAACAGCCTTAATTCTTGGTAATAATTATCTGTATTCCATTTGTGGAGGGAATACTGACTTACTATTTGGAGATTTTATTATTCATTTAAGTGTGGGTATATGTGCAGGTGCCCTTGGAGGCCAGAGGGTGCTGGATCCCCCAGAACTTCAGATTCGGGCAAATTTGAGCCATCTGATGTGAGTGCTGAGAAACAGACTTGGGCTCTCTGAGGGAGCAGCAAGTGCTTTAACTGCTGAGCCAGCTCACCAGCCCCCAACTTTTTGTTTTTAAAGCCAACAGTCAATGAGGTTGAGTCAGGCTACAGCAGGCTCAGAATGGTCTTTTGTGGGTTGTGATTGCAGTCTTCACACTGACCCTTGAGCTTTCCCATGACATCACCTTATGGCTCAGCTTCTCTGCTATGTATTTGCTAAAAACAAATGCCACAGACTGTGTAGCTTAAATAATTTATGCCCCATAGTTCTGGAGGCTGGAAGACACAATAAGGGTGCCATCAGACTCCATGTTTGTTGAAGGTCCTTTCCTGGGTTGCAACCATGTTGCATTTTACATGGATGAGAGACCATCTCCCTCATCTTTTCTAATAAAGACATCAATCCCATGCACTGTCAAAACTTCCTAATAATCTGGGAAACTGTGTCCATCTGGAGAGATACAAACATTCAATACACAACATGGTCTATGCTGAGGTTCAGGTTTTCAGGTCTAGTGTATGTATTTGAGGTCAGATCCATGCTTTTCACAGCACTAGAAAGAAATGGTAAAAAATAAAAGATGAGGTTTAAATATGCTGATTCTTCTCATCTTTTACAGTTGGAGCTGAGAAGATGTTATTTAACCTGGCTAAAAACTAGGAATGAGTCATAGGAACCTTGGACCTGTGCTTGGGTGAGGAGCAGTTGGGGAGGATTCTTCAATGTACACACTTCATATGTTAAGAGTTGTGAGCTACACGAATATATTATCATCTTCAAAGGAAGAAAACATAAGTAGATTTTTTTTCTATCAAAGGACTCCTTTACAGGTAAGTCCCCTTTGCTTCTTCTTTAGAAGAAATATTTACAAGGCAGCAATTTTCATCTGGCTTCAAAAAAGTCAATATTTAAATGTGACAGGAATAAAACCTTGCACCTATCCGTGTTTACAGACCCAGATTCCATTCTGTGTGTTTAAGGACCCACATGTTAAGTACCCCGGCCCTCAAAAACTCCCAAGAAGTATTGCAATGAAACAGAAGTATAATGAGATATATATTCTCTACAGTAAGTAACATATGAAATATTAAAATCCACAGACAATGAAAAGGAAGCTTAGCGGTTTCCCATTGTAATTAAGTGCTCACACTGGCTAATGCAGTTTAATTGGGGTTAGAACCCAGATGCTTGGGCTTCAAAAGTAGACAAAATATACAGTCTACTGTGCGGTGGGGGGAAAGAGAAGAACAGGTCTGAGAAGTGAAAATGTGTGGTTGTTCAGATTGTTTGGAATAAATGGACAATAGATAGACTCTCAACTCATGTATTTTATCAGTTATGGTGATAGACATTATTAGGGATGACCATAGGATGAACCTCAAATGTTGTACAGGTATTTCCTTGGAAGGAAGTAGGGGGAACTCAAAAGAAAGTCACAATAAGTCACAACAAAGTTAAAAGACTCATACAACCTTCCCCAGGTTGTATACGTAGTAGACAGTTGCTGGAAGGAAGACTCATGTGACACAGATGAAGGACCCCACCTCTCCATGAGGTGATGGATGGACAGGTGTTCGATATTGTTGAAGTACTGTACACACACTAAAGACCCTGTTAGTGTTCATTTCTTATTGTGGGCTCTCTTTCCAGTACTCATTTTCTACTAACAAAGATGTTGAGGATGGGTTAATTTGACCACTTGGCAGGTGTCGACTCTCTCATGCTTCCCTGTCTGTCTCCAGCAAAAGGACTGCCAGTTAAGCAATTGGCCAGTCTACCGGCACCAGCCATCTGGAACACTCCATGGATGCCCTGTACTTTTTGCTATCCAGTCTTTGATGAACTCGAGTTGATCCTGCAACTATTTCCACCCAGGGGAGCATTCCACCCACTGGCGGCCTAGTGGTAGGATGGTTGTTGCTGATACAAAAAGGACTACTGTGCAGTTGGTGCAACCACAAACCTTCTTAAGTATGAGTGATTTTCTGTGCTTGGTGCAAACACCTCTTCTTTGGCTATGTAAGCAGGTTTGCTGGCTCATTTTGTAAGCTGTCTATGAGACAGTGTCCTGTGTACTGCCCCTGGCTTCTCTAAAGAGGTCTTTACTGGCTGTTCTAATTTGCTTCCTATTGCTGGGATAAACACCATGTCCAAAAGCAATGTGGGAAAGAAAGGGTTTATTTGATCCTACATTCTGTCATGGAAGGGAAGTCAGGAACTCACCATGTGCAGGAACTCAGCACAGGAACCTAGAGGCAGGAACTTAAGCAGAGTCCATGGAGGCACTCTGCTTGCTGGCTTGTTCCCCATAGCTCACACAGATTGTTCTTTTACATAACCCAGGACCACCTGCCCAGAAATGGTACTGACTGCAGTGGACTCAGTGGTACTGACTGCAGTGGACTGGGCTCTCCCCGCATCAGTCATTAAGAAAGAAAGCAACCCAGGCAATCAGATGGAAGTGTTTTTTCTTAATGGAGGTTCCCTCTTCCCAGATAACTCTAGGCTGTAACAAAGTAACAAGAATAAATAAATAAATAAATAAAACTAAAGAACATGTCTGCCTATTTGGAGTAGGGTAGACTGGGCTGGAATAATCCCCCCCCACTCCCCCAGCCCCCACCCCCGAGAAAGCACAGAGAGAACAGGATGACAACAATAAAATAACACTAGGGGTGGCCATAGGGGAAGAACCAGCAAGCTGAGTGGCCAGAGGGCTGTAGAGGGCATTGGCAATTACAAAAGAGGCAGAGCCACAGGCCTTGGGGGTGGGCTTGGCAGCAGCAGTAGCAGCAACCATCCTGTCAAATACCTAGAGACACACAAACTGCCAAGGAGCAGTTCTTGAAGAGCTTCTCCTTGCTTACCCACCATTTCTATTGGAGTACAGCAGCAGGGGCCCAGCCAGCTGACTGGTAACAAAAGTGCGAGACTGCATTCTGTTTTTATTTAAAATGATTTGGTATTTCATTCACTATGAAGTTTTGTATTTTAAAAAATACAGCATTTTAATGTTATTTATCTTGATAAAGGTTATTTGTAAAATTGCCTTAAAATTTTCAGATCGTGTCTCAACCATCTAATATAAATGCTTGAATATATATGTATGTATATAAATATATATATATATATTAAATCACATGAAAAAGGAGAAATGTTAACTTTGTTATGAAGTTCACTCAATTATTCATTAAATAAATATTTCTGGAGCATTTTATTGTAAGCATTGCCCTAGGTTCAGAATGTTTTCAATATGTATTTTTAATGGGTGCTAGAGCATTTTAAATAATACTGTGTAATTATAAAGACCCCAATAGCTTAAAGCTTAAGATAGGCGCGTTTAATGAGATGCTCCAAGACTTGGCTATAAGCCTTTCACTAAACGTGTTCATATTTCCTAATATGTCAAATCCTTTTGCAGCATCATTAGGCAACTTCACATTCTAAACTTTAACGCTAGGGAGGGGCTAGTGAGTGAGGACAGATACTATGGCTGCTGGAAAGAAAAAGAAAGGGAGGAAAGAGGGAGGGAAGGAAGGAAGAAAAAAGAATAAAATTAGAAATGACGCCTCTTCAAATCACTTAATTCCTCAGTTTCTCATACTAAGATACAAAGAATCAGAATGTTGAAGCCTCATTTATGTATGATAATCTATAATGTTTGAAGTAACAGATTTAATTCAGCCGATAAGCTCTAAATTACAATGGGTTTTAATTCATTTCCTATTAATGATCCCCAAACTCCCTTTTTCTATTGTGGGAGCAAAAGAAAAATATACAAAAATATTTACCTGCATATACATGATTGCCATTTTAAAGTGCTCACCAAGAGCAACAGTATTTAGGCCACTCAACCCTTCAGCATCTGGGCAAATACACCTGATTGGTTTTTTCACTTCATCCTGTAAACTTTATCAACAGAGTGTTTGAAAAAAGATGGAGTTGGGCCAGGGGAATGGGGTGACTAACATGTTTTGCAAACACTTATATTTTTATTTTCCAAATTAAAAGGTTTCAAACTTCAAGGAAGAGTGTAACCCGCATAAATTGGACTTAAGGTGCTTCTGAGACTGACGTTTGATTTGAAGGATAGGGAGAGGGGGCTGATCTAGTTTAAGTGCTGGGCAGGCATGTATGATGACAGAGATTCACGATTGTAGATGAAAAGAATCCTATGAACCAACCTGGGCCTGGAGGATTTGGACACCTGCCGGGCCTTGCGTCAGTAAGTGATTTCAGATCCTGCATCCACCGGAGGTCAAATTCTTATTGTTGTCTGGAAGGCTAGTTGAAATGAAAACAAAGATCTATTTCTGTTTTGATGGATTTAGCAAAGGGCAAAGGAAGAGACGTATCCAGGTCACTGGACTCACTCTCGGAAAACCCCGCAAATAAACACACCTGAACATTGTCATTTACACCTTTGCAAAAAGTTGCTCGCAGACGCCCTCACGGAGAGGGAAGGATCTGGAGTCGCGAAGCACCTTCTCAAAAAACCCTGACAGCTCCCCAATTCCATGCACCCCGCTCTTGGGCCCGCCCCACTCGCCAGCTTCAGGTCTCCGGGGGCGCGCAGTCCCGAGGGGGCGAGGGCCGTGGCGGCTGTTCCCTCGGAGCACCCAATCAGCAGCGAGCCCCGGCGGTGGCGCCAGTGACGTAGGAGGCGCTCCCTCCGCCCCACTGCGGGCGGACGCTGGGAGCAGACAGTCACTCGAGCTCCGGGCTGCTGCGGGCGGTGCACGCGGAGCTGGAGCAGTGCGCGTGCGCGGCCGCTCACCGGGGGAGGCGGGGCAGAGGGGCGGGCACGCGCGTGCGCGCTCCCGGGGCGGTCGCGGGCGGAGGGGGCGGCTCCTCGAGTGTCGGCGGCGACCCTAAGGCCGAGCGGCGGGCGGGCGGCAGGTGCCGCGGCCGGGCGCCGCAGCCTCTTGGCGCGTCCCCGCGATGAGCCTCGATCCCCGGCCTGCCCCCGCCGGCTGCCGGCCCGCGCGGGCCTCACGGCGTGACCTGAGCCTCGTGGCGTGGCGGGCCCCCGCGGCGCGACGCGGGCCCTGAGCGGGAGCGGCGGTGCCTCCCGCGGCCCAGGCCTCGCCCTCCCGCGCTCCTCGATGTCTCCCCGGCGGGGAGGACGCTGCCTGCGACACCAGCCGAGCGGCGCCCCCCGGAGCGCCCCGCTGCCGCCCCGCGGGGACGATGAGGGCGGAGGGCGCCAGCCACTCGATGATCAACCTGTCGGTGCAGCAGGTCCTGAGCCTCTGGGCCCATGGCACGGTGCTGAGGAACCTCACGGGTAATGCGCGGGGCGGAGGGAGCGGGGAGGGGGCCCCACTCCACGCGAGTCCTGGGCGTCCGCACCCCCGACTCCGTGCCGGCCGCTGGAGCACGCCAGTTCCCAGACTGGATCACAGTTCACGTTTGTGTCATTAACCCCCCCACACCCCTGTCCCGCATGAACGCACACGCGCGAGCGCGCACACACGCTCTCTCTCTCTCTCTCTCTCTCTCTCTCTCTCTCTCTCTCTCTCTCTCACACACACACACACACACACACACTCACACTCATACAGAGCTTCTTGCAGCTTCGATCATTTTTATTCTTTCTTTCCCAGTGTAGCTCTTGCTAACAAATCTCAAACCAAATGCTGCACTTCCATCCCTGCTCACGGTGATCTGTTTGCTTGGACCATTCATTTCTTTTTCAGAGAGAGAAATGACTAAGTAGATTATAGTGGGTCAGGGGCTGGGCCAAGGTCTAGAGCAGTCGAAGCAGTTATCTGCCTTCTCTCCTATTTCCTTTATTTCCTTTTGTCTTTCTGTTCTGGCCTGAAGTTGGTCTGTGACATTTGCGAATTCAACAATGAAGGTGGTTGGGAATTGAATTTATCATCAGTTGTGGTTGCTAGAGTGAGGCATTAGTACACATAATATTTTCATCTGATCTGTAGGCTTGCTTTATGAAGAGAATTGGTTTTCTTAATGTGGAAATGTTTAAACTCTGAGTTCTGAGTTTTTAAACTAGTTTATAAAGAGCAATGTTAATAGAAAATAATAGAAAAGTGATAGGATTAACAATTTGAGTCCAGGGTGTCTGCTTTTCTGAAGTAACAACCTTCTAACACCACCACCCCTAATTTTTTAAAAATGTCTTATCTCCAATTGAACAGTAATATTTCAAAACCGGTGTGATATCAATCAAGTTAATAGCATATAATATACATATGCATATTGGTAAAATCTGGCATGATAAAGGGCTCACATTCAAAGAGGAAAATGTGATGGGATCATGTACCACCTGGACAATTTTCAGGGTACACAATTCCTTATAGATGGAAACTACAGAGTTAAAGGAAACTCTGGAGCCAGACTCTTCTTGGTTGCATGTTTATAGTTCTGAAAAGTTAAACCCACATAAAGATAATTTCAAGATTGACTCAGCTGTCTCACTTATGACATTGTGTGTATTTATCCACAGCTCCATATTTCTGAATTATTTATTAATTAATAATGATAAAGACTTAGTGAGAATACATGTTGTCTATATTAATAATTAGTTTATCTCATCAAGGTATTTTACAAAGTAAGTCTGTGGAGTGGTAGTGTAGATGTAATGGACCTGTGAGCAAGATTTAGCAATATTTTAAAACATTTCAGATTCTCATCATTATAATGGCTTTTCAGCTCCACAAGTCATCCATTTGGTTGGTAATAGCAGATAGCAATCTCAGAGAGTTTCTCTGGTGTGCGCCTAATAATTGCCTATAGAAAGTGTCAGCCTGTGGTTCTGTGTGTCCTGCACATACAGGGGAGCATAGCTGTCCCGAATGTAGCTTGAGGCTTAGTCAAGAGGTGTTGTCTGCCGTGCTGTGTACAGTCTAGTCTGTTCAAATCAGGCAAGTACACACAGCTCCCAAGACAATAAACTCACCATTTATTGAGTGTCTCCTATGGATTTCTCTCTCGGTATATAATTTCTAACCTTAATAACCCTGCAAAGTATATGTTCGAAGCAATTTGGACAAACTAAAAGTGAGCAGTGGGGCTTCAGAGCAAACCTGCCTACAGAATGCCTTCCCTTTTCCCTCTCTATAGCTCTTTATTCGGCTTCATCCGCTTCGCTCCATCAAGTAGTAGGAATTTCTTGCTTCATCCTGCTACTTCTGCTCCTGGTACCTACTTATGTTTTTAATTGCATTCTAATTTTTGTCTCTTCTGCCCTGGGTGTTTTGAAAGTAAGGCCTCTGTCTTGCTCATTTCTGAATTCTCACCTAATAGCATACAAGAATCTGGCACATTGTAAGTGCTGAATCCGTGTTTATTGAAGTGAGATTATGAAATGGTACCTAATACAGGACTTAAACATGCTGCTGCACTGTAGTTCATCTATGTCTCTTGGAGTAAATGTGCCATAGGTGCTTAGGCAGTTTTTATAGACCATCGTCTCACACACTTGGAAGACAGGTGAATGCATATTGAATACAGTTGTATTTCGTACTAGGTGGCTCTAAATTATTTGATGTTCTCAATAGTTTTTGAGAGATGTATATCTTCAGTGTACAGATGCAGGCATTGAAGCAGAGAGCAAGCTTCAGTTTGGTAGCTAACATGATTGTAACATGTACTGTTAATTCAGAAGGCATATTTGGTATCATAGCAGGTGTATAAATGAAACAGATGACGGAAAGAAGCGTACTGTAAAACCAGGCTGTCTTGGATTATGGCTGAAGGAATTATAGAAATTTGGGTATTGGGAATTTGTGTTAATTAAATACCAGATAAAAGGGAAGTAAGTGCTTGTTTCTGTTCTTTGTAAAAACAAGCAATGTTATTTTACTCTTAGGATTTTGGCTAAAATGCAGGAGTCTGACCTTTGGAAAATAGTCTTATATATGTACTGCTTTGTTGGGAATAAACTTAAACCTAGAAGAACTAGAAGCATCTGAACCCGAGAGTTTTAGGGTTTCTGAACCACTACCCTGTCACTCTTACCAGTGAGAGTGACACTGCAGTGAGAGCCCACGGCAGATTCTGAGTTCATGCCTGTCCTTTCTGCCCTACATAGCTACTTAACAAAGGCAGATTTGAGAAGTAGTAAATCTTCTGATACTTAAGATTAGCCTGGCACCTATTTGTCACAGCCTGAGAATATGTAAAGGTGTCTCCAGTGGCTGGGCCCCATACATTCCAAGACAGCTCTCCTACCCCCAAACCCCACACACCCATCCCTCCTTCTCCCTGGCTGCCTGAACCCACAGAGAGTATGTAGTCCTTAGCATGCATTCTTATGATACAGTGTACTTTCTGTTAGGTGCAATATAAAGCTGGAGACTTTTAACTACACACTATCACCACTGTTGCACCCCTGTTGCACTCTGATGCTATTAAGTAAAACAATGGGCTGTTTGAACACAAGCTTTGCAATACTGATGCAACCCATCCGGTAGCTAACAGTCTCCTGATAAGGGAGATGAGGCCCAAGTCTGTATGCCCTGACAGAGCTGATTCTTAGTGAGATCGAGCAGAACAGTAAGAGATGGCATCATACTGTTTGAATGGCCAGCAATTTTTAAAGCATGACTTGCTTGTTCCTAGAATTTTCCATTTAGTATTTTTGGATGGTTTGTGATGCAGGTAGCCGAAACCATAGCAACTGAAATCTTGAATGATCATTTACTGATTTGTCCAGTAAAAAAAAAGGTGCTGGAAAATGTTAGATAATGTTGAAAAAAAACAATGCTTTCTAACATTCCAAGTGGCTATTATTTGTAAAAGTTACTGATCCATATTTATTATATTCCCAGACTAAGGAATCCTCTAAGGTTTGGTCATTTGTTTAATTTTTGCCTCTTTTGGAGACACTTATGAGGATTTTGAGAACAAGCCATTCCCAAATCCTGTGTCTATCCCCCCCCCCCCCGCCCTTTAAGCTTATAAGAGAGATGAATGGCTTCCTTCCTTTCTTCATTCACAAGTACCCTTTTCTATGAATGTATTCTAAATTCCTAACACTCAGTCTGAAGTTGGATTCCACACTGTGTCTACCTTTTCAACTTTGTAACTTGATGGTTCCCCCTGCCAATAATTACCTGTATCTTTTTGCTTTGTTTTGATTTTCTTAACCGATTTGGCTCCCAATTTGTATTCTGATCCAAATTTGGTTACTAAGGATTTAAAGAAGAATTTTACATTAGCAAAGGCAGGTCCTTAAACTGCTAGCCAAACATAGTGGAGTAGGGAAAGGAATGCTGGACTCTGGGAGAAAAGAAGGTGCTGTCTTAGGCTTGTCCACTTCCTCTTTGACAGCAGAAAATATGGGGGGCAAGTGTACCCCTCCTCCTCTTTACTGGCAGTGAAAGGTAAATGCACACACACACACACACACATACATACACACATATATACGCACATAAATATATACAGCTCATTTGTGTATGCATGTGTATGTGTTACAGTGGTTCCTCAAATTGCGATGTGATTATGGTCTGATAAAACCATTGTAAAATTAAAAAGAAACTATTATTAGAAAGTATATTTAATATATCTGCCTTACCAAAACCAGCACTTAGCCTAACCTGTCTTAAATGAGCTACAGTGTCCCCTGGTTAACGCTACATCACATCAAACACACAGCGGAGACCAGAACGGGCATAGGCTTACACCATTTTGAAGTCGAAAGTTTGTGAGTTGAACTACTGGTAATTTGGGGTCTCTCTCTGACTATGAATATTTACTTTTAGAATATTCACATTCACACACATACTATTATAGTTTCCTTTTTGAGTTCCAAAGTTGATAAACTGTTTTGCTGTCTTCCAAAAATAGAGAAATAGTTCATACATGGTGGTGCAGTCTCCACCTTCGTTGTTTTCAGGTAGCTGTGGCTCCCTTGGTGTGGCTCTGTGTCCACCATTAGGTTATTTTCCTTTACTAAGGTAGGGAGCGATCAGAAATCCACTGCTGTTACTTGGTCAGTGTCTGCAGCAGTAATCCTACACTCTGCATTGTGGTATTTGTGCCAGATCCCACAGCTATTTTTGAAGCACTTGATTGGTATTTCTTACTCTTGTATAGCACAGAGCAGTAAGCGCAGGCAGGGTTGTGCTTTTTAGAAGGCCCACCTGTGTGTTTTTGACTGAAGGTGCTGTAAGCTTTGAAAAGTCAGGCTTATTGTTCAGTGGGCTCATACTTCATTTCCACTCTGTTATTTTGGAACTGTACATGAGCCCTTGTTCTTTGGAGTACTGAGGATTCGTTCCAAGAATATACAGGCTATGATTTTTGACTTTTTAATAA